AAAAAAAAAAAAAAAAGCCATGCAGTGGTGGCACACACCTTTGATACTAGCACTTGAGAGGCAGAGCCAGGCAGATCTCTGTGAGTTCGAGGACAGCCTGGTCTACAGAGCGAGATCCAGGACAGCCAGAGCTATACAGAGAAACCCTGTCTCGAAAAACAAAATCTAAACAAACAACCACAAAAAATGTCAACAACAACAACAATGATGAGCTGGTGAGCTGGCTCAGCTGGTAACGAACGGCTCTTGCCGGCAAGGGTTCTGTATCCCTAGACCCACCAGTGGCAGGGGAGCACCAGCTCTCAGGAGTTGTCTTCTGACCGCCGTACCCACGCCATGATGTGTGCTTACACACACGCATACACACACACACACACACACACACACACACACACACGCGCGCGCACACACACACGCACATCACCATACAAACAAGCAGAGAAAGACAACAACAGAAAGGCTCTGTGAGCCAAGCACAGTGCTAAGTGCTAAGTGCCTATAGTCCCAGACACACGGAGACCCAGACTGGAGAGTCTGAATTTAGGCTAGCCCAGCTGAGAACCACACAGTGAAAGTGTCCCCCAAAGACAAGGACATTAGTGTGTGTGTGAGAGAGAATGAGAGAGAAAGAGAGAGAGAGAGCGCTAGCACTGTGGCATGTGTGGAGCGGTCAGGGAGTTGGTCCTCTCCTAATGTGAGTCTCAGGTACCCTGTTGAGGTCGTCAGGCTTGCTCCTCCTGTACTTCTGTCCACCAGTCCCTCAAGATCTTTGGAAGGCATTCCTGCTATACGCGTGTCTGGTTGTCTAAAGTATTTTTAATGTCTGTAACCTGGATACTAATTTTGGAGTTGTTTTCTAGAAATTAGAAGTCTCAGAAGAGCCAGATGACAAAAACACCCTTGTCAGTCATTGAAGGAGACAAAGTCAACTTGGACATTCACTGTGGCCATGTGTAGGTCACCTTTGCTTGTCTCACTTTATATTGAAGTTGATATTAATAAGTAACTAGGACCGTTGATAATGTAGAGTCAAGGCCACACATTCATCTGACCAGTAATTCTTCCTCTTCTGCCTGATCTACCTTTACTATAATTAACCTGAGTAGAATGCCAATTACTTGTAAGAGAAAAGATTTTTTGTTCTCAATACTGATACTTTTATATCTAAGGAAGTTGGTGTATAAATCCAACTTTAAAGATTGGAATCTTAGCCAGGTGCTGGTGCTGGTGCACACCTTTAATCCAGCACTCGAGAGGCAGAGGCAGGCGGATCTCTATGAGTTTGAGGCCAGCCTGGTCTACAGAGTGAGTTCCGGGACAGTCAGGGCTACACAGAGAAACTCTGTCTTAAAAACCAAACCAAAACAAAACAAAAAAGCAGGCACAATCTGTAATCCCTGTGGGGAGTCTGATGCAGGCAGAATTACAAGTTCAAGGCATTAGATAAACCTAAGACCTGCCTCAAAAGGAAAAAGGGGTGGGGTGGGAGAACTCAAGGCCAGATATGGTAGAATACACAGTGGGAATCCTAGCACTCTGGAAGTTGGGAAGACGGAAGCAGAAAGATGAGGCGTTGGAGGTGAGCCTGGGCTACACTGGTGAGACCCTGACCCAGAAAATAGAATTTTTCAAAAGGCATCTAAATTTACATTTGAGGATCACTTCTGTCTGCCTAGAAAGAATCATGTGACTTCGAGCTTTGTGAGCCTGCCACCCAGGAAGTACTTTGTTGGATTCTGTTTGCTTCTGTCAGACCTTCTTTCCAAGTGCAGCTCTCTGGACTGCGGCAGAGGTGCCACAGGTGCCGCCCACTGAGCGCAGGGGCCTTTCCAGTAGGAAGGCAGGACATCTGAGCACCCCCTGCCTCCCCCCCCCCACCCCGTATACAGTACAGTGAGGAGAGCCAGGATGTGTAGTCAGGGTCTCAGAGGCCAGGAACTCTTAGCGTGCCGTGCAGCACTAACCCTTTCATTTTGTTAACTACTTCTGTTCTCTTTCAGAAGCAGGACTCTGTTTGGAAGGCAGAAAGCGGATACCATACTTCATGTAAAGACAAAGGAGATTGTGATTCCCACATAAGCAGCATTTAGTACAAAGGCGAGCAGAATCTCAAAGTTTACTTCTTAAAGCAACTGTATTTTGTTTTTGATGAACCATTTTTGTGTAAAAAAAAATATTTTTTATACCAAAGAAATGAGGTCGTATTCTACACACCTGTTTGGAACTATGCTAAAAGGAAAAAAACAAAAAACCTCTGTCAGGATGCAGACACGGTTTAATTAAGCAGAGAAGCTTTTTAAACCGGGCAGTGTTCAAGAACCCCGAATGTATGATGCTGCTTTCGCTGGTGTGTATTCACATTGTAACTTCTCAGTCAGCTCCCTATGTGTGACGTAGTCTTGTCTTCTCTTAGGGTTTTAGCACTGGACTTTGTTGTGTTGATGGGCATGAGATAAGATGGTATAAAATGTTTGTAATGGGACACTATCACCTTGCTGGCAGTTAAGGCCAGTCTGTCCTCGGTCGACAGCTGCATCTTGTCTGGCTCTGTAGTAGGCAGTTCACTTACACAAGACAGCGCTTGCTGGAAGATTAAGTTTTGTATGGATTTTTAAAAATATATTGAAGACTATATAGATAATAAAAATATATTATATTGAAATATAATTCCATTTTAACTTTAAAAAATTTTAATTAAAAAAAGATTACACTATTTGCTTCTGCCCCTTCTACTAGAACTGATCAGTTTCATTCAATAAAGATATTTTTAATAATAAAAATAATTTTTTGGTTTCCTTTTACAATACAGGACTAAAACAAAGAACTTTATTATGTATTTTTTGGTTTTTCAAAACGATTTCTTTGTGTAGCCTTGGCTGTCCTGGAACTAGCTCTGTAGACCAGGCTGGCCTTGATTCTGTGAGATTCAACTGCTTTTGCTTCCCAAGTACTGGGATCAAAGGGGTGTGCTACCACTGCCTGGCTAACAAGGAACTTTAAATGTAACCTGGCAAGTTAATTTCTCGGGAAAGTATTCTCTTAAGCAGATATCAAGGTTGTATTGTGCTGGGTCAATGCCCCTTTGTTAGAGGCTTCAGGGTTTCTTGAGAGATGATTTTCATGAGAGGAAAGGCTCACCCTTGTATTGAGGGTGCTGAAAAGAAACTGAGCGAGTCTGGCTACACTCTGTAAATACTGGCTTTCTCTTCAGACTGGTTGAATCCAGCAAGACTGAGAACATAGAGCTGATTCTGAACCAGCACTTGCCAGTTGGGAAACCCAGAATGCCCTTGGAGAGGCCCCAGGTTCCAGGCTGAGAATTCAGATACTAAATTTTTTCCTGTTCTGTGTACCAGGCTCATGACCGCTCCACTTGCCTGATGACAGGAAACATCCATTAGACGCTCCGGAGGAAAACTTAGGGTAGAACAGGATTTGAAAGACTGCATTCTTTTATAGCTAAATGTAATTTTAGTTCATAGGCTTGAAATATCTATGATACCTATGTACTCCAGGCTGGCTCAAACTTGTGATCCTCCTGCCTCAGTTTCTCAAGTGCTGGGGTGACAGGAGTATACCACCATGCCCAGCTTTATAACACCTGTGCTTACTCAACAAAATTATTATGAATTAATTAACATGAAATTCAGAGTGGCCGATTTTAATATGGTCAGCTCCTCTGTCTCAACATGTTCTGTTTATATAGGAGCCATTTATCATGTGTGTAGGAAAGAGTTACAAGATAAACTAGCCTTTAGGATTTGTGTTGTGTCCTATCATTCTTAAGACCAGCATATCAGGAGGCAGCTGAATTACACTGTAATCTGTCTGCCAGAAATGATCTCAGCATTGGAAAAGACTGATACAGGGTATTTTTGGAACTTCTGAACAGACCTTTTAAACAGAAATAGAAACACCCCCTCCAGACGAAATTCTGAATCAAGACTATACATAAACACTTAAAACAGTTTTACCCAAAAGGTGCCAAGAGAATGCTTAGAATTGAGACTGTGTGGTATGAGGCCAAAGATGGAAGCCTTGTCACACACTCTGGATAATGACCCATGGTGTCTTCTGTGTCCCTGATTTGTAAGCCTCTTGCTAGGGTAATGCCTCTAGCTTTCTTGCCTTTAAGACGGTGTGATTCTGGTAGTGCACAGTGCAAGAAGGTTAATCACTTAAGCCTCCAGGAGAATGATCGTAGCTAGTAACTCTGATGTTCTGGAGAACAGAGTGCATAAAGTCAACTAAGATGCCAGACTCATGCATCCGGGTTAAAATGGGTGGCCTTCCAGAAGAGTCTATCAAATGCACAGTGCACATTAACCAGCCCTGTTAAGGAGGACCCCTGGGTTCTCAGCCAAGTAATGCTTAAAACAAACAAAAAGGATCTGTAACCCCATCTACTGGGGAGGCTAGGCAGGAGGATGGCAAGCCGAAGGCTTAGGCTACAGAGTGAGTTCAGGTTCATCATGGGCAACTTTAGTGAGACCTCATCTCACAACGAAAAGTAAAAAGAGGACTGGAGCTATAGCCCAGTGATAGAGCACTTTCCCAGCATGCACAAGGCCCTGGATTTAATCCTGGCACCTCACACATACAAATTCATCATGAGCACACCACGCACCTTTGCCAGCCATGGGAGATAACAGTGTAAGCCTTGCTTACATTCTAGTAGGGGACACAGACCCTAAGTAATCACTGGGAAGACTGGTGCTATAATGCAGAATGTTGAGATACTGGCACATAGGTCAGGGTGGAGGAATCAGGGAGGCTTCCTAGAGAACTAAACCAAGAGCTGCAAGATGGGCAGACACTCCCCAGGCAAACAGGAAGAGAATTCCAGGTATAGTAACAGCATGTGCAAAGTCCCTGAGGCTGTGGAAGGGGGATGATACATGTGCAGACTTGATAGTCCAGGATGGCGCAAGATGAAACCCGAGAGGGGCTGGGAGGATCGTGCCTGTGTGTGTCAGTGAGGCAGTGGCTATTACAGCATACAGTCTTTTTCAGTGAGCTCCCAAAACTTTGCTGCCTTCCTGAGTTCTCCCAGATAGGGTCTAGTCTGTATTCCCCTGGAGGAAGATTAAACAGCCGTCACAATTTACCAAAAGGGAATCACGGCCAGTTAGTGACAGCCTGGTGTGGACCAGGCCCCTTAATTAATCAAAGGGGTGGAGTTTGCATCTTTGTACCCCCAGAAATGCCCATTTATAACATAAGCATACAGTAAAGTACTCATTCTGTTCTCCACTCTCTGGGGCTGGTGTATTCTTTCAAACCTTCATTTTATACTCCACCGCCTTTTTTACTCACTCTGTAGACCAGGCTGGCCGCATAATCACAGAGGCCTCCGTGCCTCTGGCTCCCAAGTGCTGGCATTAAAGATGTGTGCTGCATTGCTTGCCCTCATGCTCATTTTTAAGTTAAATGTTATGTGTTTGTGTATGTGTACATGTGCAAGCCACAGCTTGAAATAAAAGGTCAGAGTCCTCCCTCTCCTTCCATCATGTGGGTCCATCAAGCTTGGCATCATGTGGTCCATCAAGCTTGGCATCATTGCTGACCCTCATACCCATTTTTTTAAAAAAAAAACATGGTCATGTATTAGGTACTCTGCTAGGCATGGAGAGCAGGATGATGGTTAACACACGGCCACCTTGACCTCCGGCAACTCAGAAATCTCACGAGCAGATACATTACTTGTAAAAGCCATAGGAACTCCAGTATCATCGAGTCAGTGGCGTGCTTGTCAGAGCCCACTGGCTCGAAACGGGGCAGATGGGAGACCACATCCTGACAGCATCATTTTGCAATTGTGTGAGCCGGGACTGAACTTGGGTGCTGTGAAGATAAGCCCTTTTCTTGGTCTGTAAAGATGAAATGCGATCCTGCAATCCTGATGACTGGATGGTGAGCACCACACCTAGCACACTAATGCCTCTGTTTACTAAAAAGAATGGGCGTGTTTGATAATGACAGGCCACTGTGGGAGGTGTGCTATACCCAGTGGGAGCTGTGGCTGTGGCCTCGTGTGTGTGTGTGTGTGTGTGTGTGTGTGTGTGTGTGTGTGTGTGTGTATGTGTGTGTACGCGCGCATGTGAAAATTACAGGATAACTGCTTTGGTCCCCTGTGAGAAAAAGTCTGAGAAACAGCTGGCACAGAGCAAAACAGCGCCTTCTTTTTTATTTTTATTTATTTTTTTTTAAACCATGGCCGTTTAGTGAATTGCTGAGGATTAGGAACTAGATAATACATATAAAGGGTTTAGCCCCGTACCTGACAAATATCGGCTGCTGTTGTTACTCTATCGTTATTCGGGCAAAGAAGCTTTTCATTGATTGGTATTAGATAAAGCACGGCTAATCTCGGTGTCGGAGAGAGCCTTGTCCAACTCTGAAATGTTCAGTGGATGTCAGCCACAGTGAGGAACGGGCAATGGCAAAGAAACTGTCCCCCCGGGGTCCTCAGAGAGCTTCATCTAACCTGGGAGACGATGGTCAGGTGTCTGACTCAAGGTAGCATTTCCTCTGACAGGTCGTTGAAGCTTCATCTCAAAAAGCAAGGGGGCTGGAGGGATGGCTGGGCTCAACTAAAAAGACAAAGAAGCCTGGCTGTGCGGCTTACCCACCGACCAGACTCAAGGAGACCCAGTTTGTTCCGGTCCCGTGCCTCCCCCCCATCCCCCATCCCCCACCCGCCACCCCGAGGTTGTAGAGGGAGACCCAGAATGAGGAAGGTACGGAGGGGCACAACTAATTTTTCCTCAGGTTGGGAGGCGAGAAGAGGGTATGTAGCGGGGCTAAGGGGGTATTTGGTTTGTCAGGGGGCGGGGTGTGTTGGGAAGTCCTGGGGAGCTAGAGGTGTGCAAGGAGATGTGCATGGAGATGTGCAAGGGGCATTCCCCGTGAGTCCCCGGGGACAAAGCAGATGCAGAGTCTTGGGGCTCAGGGCGTCCCCGGGGGGACCAGAGGGGTGCTGGGTAGGGCGTCCCAGGGGACCAGAGGGGTGCAGGGCAGAACGTCCTGGGTGACAGAGGGGTGCAGGGCAGGGCGTCCCGGGAGTCCTAAGGGACCCAGGTGGGTGCAGGGCAGGGTATCCCGGGAATCCTAGGGTTGATGTGGGGATGCAGGGGGGCGGGGCACGCCAGGAGTCCTGGGGACCCGGGGGTGTGTGTGGCGGCG